CAGGAATGTAATTAATTATTTTTAATGATATTAACTTCTTTTCATTAGAAGTATACTGTTAATGTACAATCCAAAAATCAAGTAAATTGATTTAAAATAAAATGTTGTGATAGAAACAACTTAATCTGTAAATGAGAAAGCAGAAATATATTTATTTCATGATGCACCAAAATAGTAAAAGTGTATATACACTTATCCATACCTTACAATTTTTCCAATATTCTACATCTTTCTATTGTTTTTCCCGAAACAAATTTAGAGGCAAGCATACTTTTTTCACAAACAATACTCAACAGCTCTATATGTAATCTCTTTACCAAAGATCTAGAGTTCTCTAACTCATCAAAATGTTTTTGACTTGTTTTCACATATAAACGAAAAAGAGAGTAACAGGCAGTGAGAACATCAGCTTAATTTTGCATGACAAGAAACCTTGGTGGCAGTTCAGAGTATTCCAAAGGCAGAAGTAGCTTTTCTTAATTAATTAGATGCATATCTGATATTATTGACCTGTGTTGTTTTTTTTTTCCCCCAGCATGTATGCTTTATACAATTCACAATACTTTTGATGATATTGAAAACAAAACAATTGCAGATTTAGGATGTGGTTGTGGCATGCTCAGCATTGGAAGTGCAATGTTAGGAGCAGGGTAAGTATTTAATACTAAGTCCTGGTTATGTTTTTTTCTAGCATAGAAGAGTAGAAAAGAAGATTAGAACATAGCAACGCTGAACTAAACTAATTTCAGGTATCTAATCAGGTGCATAATGAGGCTATTTAATATGTTTAGACAGTCAATAACCATTCAAATAGCTGAAGAGACAGACAGGTGCCATGAATTTGGAAGTCATAATGTTTGCTTTCCCCTGCAGCACTAAATGAACACATGAAACTTCCTTCACAAACTTTAAAAGGGTATTTGAGAAAGGGGAACAGAGCTACTGACATTTTTATCAGCATGGAATTTATAGCATATGCTTGTTACATTTCCCTAGATAAAATAAGTTGTGTACACAGATCCCTTTCAAAACTTTACTATTGAATTTGAACATAGGCTTATTTTGCAAGATTAATACATGGTTTGTTTTTTGTTTTTTTTTTTAATAGATTGTGTGTGGGCTTTGACATAGATGCAGATGCACTGGAAGTATTTAATAGCAATATTGACGACTTCGAGCTCAGGAATGTCAACATGGTTCAGTGTGATGTCTGCTCTTTATCTGACAGCATGTCAGAGACTTTTGACACAGTTATTATGAACCCTCCGTTTGGTACCAAGCATAATAAAGGTTGGCAATTCTGAAAGTCAGTTAGAAATTATTAGGAATGAAATAGCAAGGGAAGCACTTTCAATGAAACATCTCCCTTCTTTATTACAACTACTTATTGTAGTTACCTAGAGTTCTGCTGATCTGTAGTCAGTTTCCTAAGTACAAATTAACAACTTCAGCATTGTAACTAACAGTCACTGTGTCTGAAATAATCAGTATTTCATATCTAGCTATTTCATATCCCTATCATTGTTCTTTTACTAAAAGCAATTGAGTAAGTTTTAGAAATACTTTATGTACCTTAATGTATTCAGTGCCATTTCTCAAATAGCTATTACTTCAGAAAAATTGAAGCATGAAGCAGATCTTTAAATCCTCTAGTTTGAGCTTGTATTTAACAATTCTAATAACTTCAACATTCTTTTAGGAATGGATATGATCTTTCTGAAAACTGCTTTACAAATGGCAAAAACAGCTGTATATTCCCTTCACAAAACTTCAACACGGCAGGTAAGGCCTTCATTTTAGTAGGGTGAGCATTAACCAGGCAATGAAATAGCTAGCTTTTAATGATATTGTCTATAGCTTCACTAATTTGTTCACACCTTTATGGAGTATGAAACTTCTTTCAGGTAAATACTAACCATGTCACATAATTGTGATCTTACTTATCTTGATGTATGTATGTGATCTAATGTTTCAGCTTGAAAAACAAAAGGACAGGAGACTTAAGTAAATACAGGGGTGTAGATGTTTATAAGACAGCATAGAAAAGAACTTTTAAAAATTTACCTCTATCTATTTAATATTGTAGCACATTCAAAAGAAAGCAGATGAGTGGGAAGTTAAGATGGAAGTCATAGCAGGTAAGACTAATTTGTTTAAAAAAAAAGAACATTTTGTTGAAGGTTAATACCTATAAGACTACTAGCCAGTCTTAACAGCCTGAGGTAAATTTAAGTGTGATTTAACACTGAAAAATGACACAGGTCCTTTTTTTTTTAGCAGCCTTTTTTTTTTTAAATACAAGTAGGTACTTAATAAAGCTCCGAGTAATACATATTCTGTGCAAAATTAGAATTGGATTTCCTCCTGGACTAGATTTTGCCTTTGAGCAGAAGCTACCTACCTTCCTGCTTCAAAAGGAGATTGTTGCTGAGTAACAAAAGCAAAGTGCAGGTCAGTTCTCACACAAAAAAGCATCCTGTCCTTGTAGTCACCTAAGTATTTTTCTGATAGATGTTCAGGTATCTTCTTGATTCTTAAATATCACCAGCTGGATGCTTTATACAGTCATACAGTTTGAGACATGGAAATGGCACAAGTGTTTGAAACACAACTGCATTTCAGCCATCCACTGTGTGATGTGGATGGCTTAAATGTTCAGTCATAATCTAGTCGAGAGGTCAAAACAGTTATCCAGTGAGGGGTCAACAGAGGTGGGCCACAGAAGAACACGCATGTAGGGTATAAGTCAATCACCCAATATAATCATTTTAGTGTAACAAGTATTCTTTGTACTGTTCACAGAACTTAGATATGACCTACCAGCATCATACAAGTTCCATAAGAAGAAATCAGTAAGTATAAGACCTAACTGAGAAAATGCTTGGTCTTATACTAAGCAGGTAAATAAATTCTAGTGAAGAAAATTTTAAGTTTTATGGCCAGATGTACAGGTGAAGAATGCTCACAGCACTTGGGAGAGAAGTTCACTATGATAGCATCAAGTTCCATTGCCATTACTACATTTTGTAGCTGAGCAGAGAAAATAATCATTGTAATGAAAGTCAAAGCTACACACAAGGATTAAAGCCAGCATTGCAGCTAGACCTGAAAAAACTACAGGTAGCCTCCTTGACACAACTTTTAAGTTATTTGCTTGATTCTATCTGCAACTGCAACTTAAGGCTGAATTAAGTAATGAAGGCCAAAGTAACTAGGATTTTACAGCTGTAGCATTACTTCAGTGTTCTATGCTCTGTACTGCAAATAGCTACAGCCAGTCAAATCCCTCATAGAACCATCTTAGAGGAGGCAGGAGGAAGCTGTGTGTGTTATCCCACAACAGAAGATCTAGTCAGGATGCTAGAGTATGGAAGCTTAAGCCCACAGGCAAGTTCCTGGGTGCTGAATGCCAGCCTAGAAGACATTTATCTCATTAATATAGGGGAAGTAGAGAGAATCCTGGAATAGACTGAGCAAGATTTGAAGGTTGTTTAGGTATGTTGAGTAGCAAAGCCTAGAAGTTTTATTCAGCTGTACCTATTGTCTTGGTGACTTGAACTTAAAATGATGGAAGTCTGTCCTTCAGGTTTACTACTTCACAGTTACAGCTTCATACTACATTAACATCCAGGCTTCAGCAGTAAGCAGTTTTAAGTCCTGAATTTATTGGAAGCTGCTATTTAACATAACTGCCAGATTACAGAGTCCAGAACCTTTTACATTTGAATGAGGTGCCAGAGAAGTTGAGAGGATCTGATAGTATAAACACAGCTATAAATATAAAAGAGTTTTCCAGGGTGGTATGTTAAAGAGTAAGCATGCTTCTTAAACAAAACAAAAAAAGCTGTAACCCAACAAAATGAAGCTTTCCTCTCATTATAGGTTGACATTGAAGTTGATTTCATTAGGTTTTCTGCCAAGAAACTCCTGAACTGAGGCATGTCTTTAAAACTTATGGAAAATGGAACAATAAAAACAATGATTTTTATTATTTCAGTATTACTGATCTCCATTTTCTGTTTTCAGTTGTTTTGGTGCAGGTTCTTCTTTTTCCGTTTCTTCTAGTGGTCTCTTCTTGGGACTTGCTGGTTCTGCAAGATTAAATATGTAGTCATTTATGGTAAAGGAAAGCATTTCAGTATTACCTGAAATCTTCTAAAAAGCAAACTCTTCCTACCATATAAGTTCAAGGATGAGTCCTAGTTTATCCACAGCCACTGCTATGCTAGAGGGTTTACTTATTACTGTAACTTAAAGGTTTTAGATCTCTAAAAATACCAACTTTGACGAGTTTCTTCCCTGTAGAACTTTACAGCAGGAAGGCAGGTAAGAAGATGGAGGAATACAATCTAACAGAGTAGGTTTCACTGCGTTTTGTTTAAGCAGGTGCCCTAACTAATGAACAGAAGCTTAGCTCTTCATCTTCTCCAAGCTATGCAGAACTATTAGTGTTCTCATAGCGTCAATGAAAAACAAATATTCACCACTCAAGAGACTGTGTCTGTACAGTTGTGCAACATTGCTGACAACCACCATCTTTCAATGCAGAATGCTTTGAAAAGCCCTGCAGTACAGCCTCAGCTATCTAGTAATTATTTTAATATGCTTTTTGGACAGTTCTGGAAGGAATCAAGGACAAAAGCCTTAAAGTTACTTTACTGATACTGACAAGAGGACAGAAATACTATAACATAGGGCCAAATCTGAAACACTTGTAAGAAACATGAGTACTTCTCCAGAAAGTAGCTCCACATACTAAAGAAGCTGCATCCAGTGCACAGAATGACACACCTGTTTTAGTGTCATCTTCGCCATCTTCTTCTTCATTCTCAAACTTTATTTTCTTGCCTTGAAACTGTACTTTTCCTTTGTGTGCACTTTGAGATATCTTTCCCCCTCTTCCTTTTCCTTTAATTTTGCGTCCTGTGGGGATAGAAGATGTCAGGAACTTTCTTTCATTTGTTTTTTAACTATCAAGCTCAAAAGAATGCTTTATTCAGTGCTTAGTACGAATTCACTATTTACAGTGCTATTCACTATTCACACAATGCCACTTCTAGGACATTATAAATGCTTAAACCAATAAAAGAAGGACCTTTTGTTTTCTGTTTCAGCAATTCTTGCTGATCTTCCAGTATTTTTTTCAGAGCTTCTTTCTCTGCTGCTCCTTCTAGCACTTCCCATTTAACATCCTTGTTCCGAAGCTGTAAGTTTCCGTTATGTGCTGCTTTGGCTTTTTCCAGAGCTTCTTTTGCAATATCCTTGAATAGGATAATTCCCTTAAAAAGAAGAGTGGTGTTTGCATTTGAATCTTACTGCAAAAACATTCAGCTAAAATCACAGAACCACAGAATCACTAAGGTTGGAAAGGACCTTCAAGATCATCAAGTCCAACCATTACCCAACGCCACCGTGTCCCCTAAACCATGTCCTGAAGCGCCACATCCACACGTTTTTTGAATACTTCCAGAGATGGTGACTCTACCACCTCCCTGGGCAGCCTGTTCCAATGCTTGACCACCCTCTCGGTGAAGAAATTTTTCCTAATATCCAATCTAAACCTCCCCTGGCGCAACTTGGGGCCATTTCCTCTCGTCCTGTCCCTGGTTAGTTGGAAGAAGAGACCAACACCCTCATCGCCACAACCCCCTTTCAGGTAGTTGTAGAGAGCGATAAGGTCTCCCCTCAGCCTCCTCTTCTCCAGACTGAACAACTCCAGTTCCCTCAGCCGCTCCTCATAAGACTTGTGCTCCAGACCCCTCACCAGCTTCGTTGCCCTTCTTTGGGCACACAAACATGAAAATGATGAACAACATAGCCTGTTATGTACCTCAGCAAGTTCATTACTCTTGCATAATGTCTAGACTGAAGCAAAACCCTCAGACTGTCCTAACATTCTCCGTCTCAGTTTTGAACTTATCAGCTGAGAAGGCTAGAACCTGTTCTTTTGAAAGAATTTAAGGAAGTAATTTAATTCTCTAAATATGCTGCAATTCCACAAGTCAAATAAGTAATTTCTTACTTCATTATATAAGAGAACAAGCATTTAATCATTCAGTTTCAAACTTTAATAGAGAGATCTTCACTCCTTGTCTAAGATTCTACTGACCTCCTTTGCACCTCTGACAAAGTGTATCCATTTGATTTCTCCGTGATCAGAAAATACATCATGGAGATCTTCTCTGCATGTTTGATCATCTAGATCACCAGAAAACTTCAAGAGACATCCTGTCTTTTCTTCCAGAGACTTCTAAATGAAATAAAGAAACCCCCCACACACATTTTTGTTGAAGAGTCAAGCTTGAATATTCCTTTTTTACCCCCTCAATCCTAAACTTGATAATGATAAATAAGCAATTGAAGTCACCCCTCTTAGCAGCATCAGTAACCCAGGCATTCTGGCTACATAGCTTATTTATGCTGATGTCCAAGTCTTGTATAGTATATTACCTTGCCTGCCCTTTTTTTCCCCCCTCCCTTTCTTAAATTTTCTTTGCTTACTACATTTATGTGGAACTTGAGACTCCTTCCCCATAAAAGAGTTACATTCTTTAAATTCTACAAAACAGTTTTCTGAAGGCTGGCACCTCAGGTTGAAAATTCATATAATACTGATTAAATCCTTACTGGATCCTTTAAATACCACAGAAGAATGATCATCTCAATGGTGCATTTAGGATCACTTCTGAACAGGTAAACATGCCTAATAATTTAAATTGAGGACATCATACTTTAAACAAAATCAGTCTCTTGAAAATAAGATTACATATCATGACAAAACAAAGTCTTACTGTAGGTTAGTTGGAAAAGATGAAGAGATTTTCTAGAAAGTGCTCTATATTATAGAATTTTAAACTCTGAATATCCCACATTAGCTTTACAAAATGTAGCTGCAGGAGCATGCTTGTTATGTGTGGATTGAAGCATTGCATAGTTTTCAGGTATAGAGATTTAAGAAACCCATACCATTTCAGCATCTGCTGCTTGTTTCTGTTTTTCTTCTTTTTCCCTGTAGAAAAGTTAAATTAGTTAAGAGTTGGTTCAAGTGCGGTCAGGTGAGCAAAACCAGGCACTTCAGTTGATAATGACTTACTGTTTAGCTCTTGCTTTAGCTTCTACTTTGTTCTGTCTCCTTTCCTCATTCTTCTTTGTACAATACTCCTCCCTTCAACAGAATACAAGCCAAGTTAATACCACTTAAAGTATTCCATTATAATTATTTTATAAGATAGCAGTGGCCAAGAAACAATTGAGATTAGCTTTGGGAGTTGGGAAGCTAGCCTCCAAAAGGTACAGCTATCAATACCTGTACAACAGCGTAGAAACTTACACTTCTCAGGTTCTTGTCTAAATCCACCCTTGACCATTATTAGTTCATACATCAGTTTATTGGACTTACTTGAAAAGTACGATCAGCTCTGTGTCTTTGTACTTTTGGTTTGGGATCTCTGTGAACTTCTTAGCAGATTCAACACTATCAAAAACTGCAAATATTGAGCCCTATTAAATGGTAAAAGATATTCAGTGTTAGAGTAATTGAACAGAATGTTGTCCAGGGGGGATCCCTGCCCCAGGTCTAACTGTTCATTGCAAGAGCTACCTTAAATGCTCTCTGCAATGTTCTCCTCATTTGAATGTTTTCAACTGGACCTTTATCCTCAAGCCATTCTTTGATATCATCAAGAGTTGCATCTAGTGGAAAGCCTTTCTGCAAGATAGCAACAAGCTTCAGTTATATGCAACAAACTGACAGTCAGAAATTAAAACCTATCTAGTATGAGTTAATTCAAGCAATACTTCGATGATTTTTCAGGCAAAGTCATGCAGAACAGCACAGAGCAAAGGAATAAGTTTACTTACAACATATACAGATCTATTTTTAATTGCAGCCTTGTACTGGTCATTTAATTCAGGAAGGGGTTTGTTTGGAGATCTTCTGATTTTAGTTTTGTCTTCATTGATTTCCATTAAACCAGTCTTGGATTTTCTTAGTGCTTCTACAATAACACTAAAATCTTTTGAAAGGCGACTTAACCTATTGAGTAAGCAGAAAGGTTATTACAAACGTACAGGCAAAGCTGAAAGCCAAATGTTAAAACAGCAGTAGGAGTTGTACATGCAAACCAGGGACATTTGTCCCCAAATGAAGATAAGTAGCTGAAAGTTGCCCTTCCATCCAGATTAGTTGTACTTTGTTTTACCTGTTGAATTTGATCATTACTTCTAAAGGCACCCAGCCATCATCTAGTTTGATCTGTTCCTTTAGGAACTTGTCTCGTGGTAGATTGTGATTGCCAAAATAGTACTGCAAAAAAGAAGGGAGAAGGAGGTGGGGAGAAAAATTTGTCTTTGAATGTTCAGTCTTAGAAGCTCATTTTCACCTGACAACTTACTGCAAGTGGATCGAGACATACCAAAATTCATTAATCTGAACAGTTAGAAATTCTGAAATTATTACTTCCTGCTTTAACATGATACTTTTGGAAAAGTTATCTGCAATGCACAAGCTCTAAAAAACCCCCAGTGCTTCATGCAATGGGACTAATGAGGCAAAGGTAGACTGCAGTTTTCTTTAGGAAAGACATGAAGCTTATTCTGTTAACATAGCTATTCATCAACCTGACCAAGCTTTGCAGAGTCAAAAGTGAAATTTATCACCAGATTCAGGTTTTAGTCCTTATTTAAGGAATGTGTAAGCAAGAATATTCTATTTGCCACAGAGAGAAATCATACACGTAGACAAGAGTTTCTAACTCTAATTCAAAATACTGTAAGATTAAAAATCTGGGTTTTTTTTTAATTTACTATGTTCTCATTTTGATTATGTCCAGCATGGGAAGAGCAGAGTGTCATGTAGTTGACACATTGTTCAGTTCAGTACGAGATAGACAAGTTAGATTCTTTTGCTTACTAGCAGTCATCTAACTAGAATCAAATACTTGAAGCCATAGGATAAGTTGAAGCCTTTTCCACCAATATCATTGTGCA